GTAAAAAATTTGTGTTTTGGGATCACAGATGCGAGGGACACCTCTAAGTCCGAATGATGCCTGGCGGAAGGATGATGCCGCTGTTCCAACCCTCACGCAGTTGTGGGTTTTTTACCACGAATTGCTTTTGTAATTATTATTTTTTTTTTAGTGTGAAATTATTGCTGACAAAAACACCGGTAAACCGCGTGGATTTGCTTTCATAACATTCGATGACTATGATGCGGTGGATAAATGCGTCCTGATCAAGAGTCACATGATCAACAACTATCGATGTGATGTGAAGAAGGCGCTGAGCAAGGAGGAAATGGCAAAGGTACCCGAAAAGGTGTTTTTGCATAAACATTGGGTCTTATTGTAGTTCATACATTTTTGCAGAGGGAGGAGGGGGATTTGAGCAATTTCATGGGTTTTTTTTCTTCAGGTACAACAGCAGGAGCGTGAACGAATGGATCGTGGTGCTCGTTCCCGTGGTCCACCACTGGGACGTGCCGCTGCTGCAGCAGCTGCTGCGGGCTGGGGCCCAGCCGGAGACCGAGGTGGTTACGGTGGACAACCGTGGGGTGCTGGTCCGGGTGGTTACGGAGGTGGCGGCGGTGGCCAGTGGGGACCGTCAGGTAAATTGTTTTTATGTTTTTTTTGCAGCTATGCAATGCAAAAACGCATATTGACGAGGGGTTGTCTGTATGTGCGTCTGTCACGCACTTTCATCTCAAGGCCTACAAAAGCTGCGGGGCTGAAATTTCGGGAACTTAATCTACATGCACGTACCGGCCCCAATCCCCAAAATGGGCGCCATTTCCCGCGTGGTACCCGCGTACGGCTCCACCAAAGTTTTTTTCGGGTAAGTTCATAACTCGGGGATCTTAGAAGCTAGAATGTTGAAATCTTGGAGCAGTGTTCCCCGTCCAAGTAGATATTAACGAGTGCAAACCCTGCCTGCGGGCAAGCGTGGTACCCAAGTACGGGCCCTTGAAAGTTTCTCCCGGATATGTTGCTAACTCGGGAAAGTGAGAAGCTAGAAGATT